CTCCCCCAGGTGGTCGGGACAAGCCCACCCTGTCTGCCTGGCCCAGCGCTGTGGTGCCTCGAGGAGGACACGTGACTCTTCGGTGTCACCATCAATCTAGGTTTACAAAGTTCAGGTTGTACAAGGAAGACGGGATCCTCAATCCTGACTTCCAGGGTGGAATATTCTGGAATAGCTCCCTCATGTTCCCTGTGACCACAGCACATGCAGGGACCTACAGATGTCGGGGTTTTCACCCAGACTCCCGCACTCCGTGGACGGCACTCAGCAACCCCCTGGTGATCAGGGTCACAGGTCAGAGGGCTCCTGTCTGGGCTTCTCACTGTCCCACCTCCTGAATCCCAGAGCTTCTGGTGGGGTGTCCGTCAGGGTCCGATCACCCAGGCCCTGACTGTATTTGGGGTAAAGGGGATTGAATACAGGGAAGTGGGTGCTGTGGTGGGAAGAATAACTGTCCCCAGTGATGGCCACATTCTCATCCCTGGAGCCTGTGACTATTTCTGTTACGGGGCAGGGGACTGAAGGGGAAGATGGAGCTCAGGTTGTTGATGAGTTGACCTTGAGATGGGGAGGCTGCCTGGACTGTCCAGCTGGGCTCAGTGTCATCACAAGTGTCCACATGAGAGGAGGAGGAAGAGGGGAGTGGGGATTAGAGCAGCGTAGTGGGAGGGAGACTCCACCAGCCACTGCGGGCTCTGAAGGTGGAGGACGGCCAGGAGCCATGAATGCAGGTGGCCTCTAGGGGCTGGAGAAGTCAAGGGAACTGATTCTCCCCCAAGTCTCCAGAGGGGATGCAGCCCTGCAGATGCCCTGATTTTAGCCCAGGGAGAACTGGGTCTGATTTCTGTCTCCAGAAGTGGAAGGGCTCAGTGTGTTCTCTCCTGCTGCCATATTGTGACAATTTTCTACAGTAGCAACAGGAGACAAACACAGGAACCCAGGGCAAGGACAAGTTAAGAACCCACACCAGGAGAAGGGCGGCTACGCCGAGGTCAGCAGGGTGGGATGCTGAGGCCACCACCAGGCTCGATCCACATAGGGAGGGGTCGATGCTCCTGGAACCAGCACCAGGGGCCGCCCCATGGAAGCTGGGACCATGGAGAAGCACAGACATGGCAGGAGAGGCTCCCAGTCCCCACCAGGAACAGGGTGTGTGGACACTGCTGCCCGCCTTACTCATCAGTTCATACTTCCTGCCAGGGATTCCAATTTGTTCAAAACAGATTGAACCAGGCTGTTCAGATCCTGGACATGCAGCCTGTCGTGGTTCCTCTTCCACCCCCACATAGACATCAGGAAAGAGATTAGTGGGAAACAGAAACAACAGCCCAAGGGATGAGGCTCAGCCCAGTGGGAAGGAGTCAGGGGCTACTAGAGACAGAGACAGAGAAGAGGGAGGGAGACAGATGGAGGGACCTGCACCAGGGGTGATGGGCACAGAAAAGAGCACAGAGATGCAGAGAGGGAGAAGAGAGTCAGACACCGGGGAGGGGAAGCCTCACTCATTCCAGGTCCCATGGATGGGATGAGAAAGGGAGACACCTTCTAAACTCACAATCTCTCTTCCTAGGAGTCTACAGAAAGCCTTCCCTCCTGGCCCTCCCAGGTCCCCTGGTGAAATCAGAAGAGACGGTCATCCTGCAATGTTGGTCAGATATCATGTCTGAGCACTTCTTTCTGCACAGAAAGGGGATCACTGAGGACCTCTTGCACCAGATTGGAGAGCCCCATGATGGGGGCTCCCAGGCCAACTTCTCCATATATCCCATGATGCCTGACTCTCCAGGGACCTACAGATGCTACGGTTCTGTCACTCACTCCCCCTGTCAGTGGTCGGCTCCCAGTGACCCCTTGGACGTCGTGATCACAGGCGAGAGTGTCCAGACATTCTTCTCATTGTCAGTGGGACAGACTGAATGATCCAGGACTTGGAAGCCCCACGTGCTCATGAAGAAGATGTGCGTGGGGTTCTTATGGAGAGAGACTGCCTTGGTGAGGTCTGTACCAGCAGAGACAGAGAAACAGGAGACACAAGTACAGACCACATGTCATAACAGAGGACAGACACAGGGCCATACAGGGAGTGAGAAAAGAAGGGAAGAGGTAAAGGGGACACACAGAAAGACAGACATGTCCCAGAGAGAGGTGTCCTTCCATGCTGGCTTTGTTCAGACATCTGGCACAGGGTAGAAGTTTTATTTCTGCATTTCCTCCACAAAGTGTTCTCTACCAGGAGAACCCAAAGTCACCCAGATTTCTGACCCGAGTTGGGCCCTCTGGCCTCAGGCCTTGTGGCACCTTCAGACGCCACGTTTATTCTGACACCTCTGCCTTCCGTACAGTGGATCTGTAATAGACCCAGGATACCATGGCCCCGGAACACTAACCCCTGTGTGCTGTGTGTACTTGGGGTCCCCAGACTGGATTCTGAGGCTCATATTTCAAATAACCCCACATATTATAAGATTACTGAGAGAGACAGAGAGAAATCTTGGGTATGAAAATGCAAAGACATAAACACACACAATGAGCCAGGGGAAGGGAAATGAGAGACTCACAGGCACATAATGAGAGAGAAGGCCGGGTGCAGTGGCTCACGCCTATAATCCCAGCACTTTGGGAGGCCAAGGTGGGTGGATCATGAAGTCAAGAGACTGAGACCATCCTGGTCAACATGTGAAACCCCGTCTCTACTAAACATACAAAAAATTAGCCGAGCATGGTGGCACGTGCCTATAGTCCCAGCTACTCAGGAGGCTGAGGCAGGAGAATTAATTGAACCCAGGAGGCGGAGGTTGCAGTGAGCCGAGATCCTGCCATTGCACTCCAGCCTGGGTAACAAGAGTGAAACTGTGTCCCCCCCCCCAAAAAAAAGACAGAGAGAGAGAGAGAGAGAGAAAAGAGGGCAGAGAAGAGAAGTGGAGGGAATGACGGAAGGGAGCAGAGAAAGGCCCTAAAATCAGGGCCCTGTGGGAGGGACACAAGAAGAGAGAAAGATGGAGATGTGGGATGGATTGCAGAGATTCCAGAGAGAACTGGAGACACCGAGAGGCAGAGAGAGACAAGGAGGTGGAGAGACAGATGACAGATGGATGGATAGAGAGAGATAGATAGATGATAAATAGGTAGATGGTAGATCATAGATAGGTCATAGATCCATAGATGATGATTGATTGAATGATAGGTGATACATAGGGTCAGTGAAGATGAAGATAGATGGAGATAGAGAAGCAGACAGGAGATAACAGAGAGACAGATGATACATAGATATAGATAATAGGTGATGCATAGAAAGATAATTGATGGAGACATAGATAGACGATACATAGATATTGATGATAGATAATTTGTAGACACCAAATACAGAAATAGATAGAGACTTACATAATAGATAGAAATATGCAGAAAGTTATGAACAAGACAGAAAGTGAGAGACTCAGAATTAAAGGAAAAAGATCAACCAATCCAAGTAGAGTCAGAGAGAATAAAACAATACAAAAAACGGAAAACCTACCTCGGGATGGGGAAGTGAGGGAAGAGACCCAGAGAGACGAGAAGGTAGAATGAGAAAACACACATGAAGAGAGACGGGGTGGAGGGTGAGAGAGCATTAGCTCATAGAGCAGGGGCGTGAGTTCTCAGCTCAGGTGTGAAGGGAGCTGTGACAAGGAGGAGCCTCCTGAGTAAACTGCCTCTTCTCCTTCCAGGTCTATATGGGAAACCTTCTCTCTCAGCCCAGCCGGGCCCCAAGGTTCAGCCAGGAGAGAACGTGACCTTGTCCTGCAGCTCCCGGAGCTCATTTGACATGTACCATCTATCCCGGGATGGGGAGATCCCTGAACTCAGGCTCCCTGCAGTGCGGAGTGTCAATGGAACATTCCAGGCCCACTTCCCTCTGGGCCCTGCCACCCACGGAGCGACCTACAGATGCTTCGGCTCTTTCCATGGCACTCCCTATGAGTGGTCAGCCCCGAGTGACCCACTCTCCGTTTCTGTCACAGGTGAGGAAACCCCATACCTGTCCCATGTCTGATGATCCTAGAGCCATAGCTGAGGAGCTTCCTGCTGCTGATGGAGGGAAGCATGGACAGATGCAGAGAGAAGACAAAGGCTGGGTGTGAGGGCGGGGCCAGGGCGCAGGATGGCAGACAGGGCACCTCCAAGCCCTCCTCCATGGCCCGCATGGAGGCCCGCATTCAGAGGTCCGGGCACCCAGGCATCTGGAGAGGGCGGTCAGGACAGGCCCAGAGGAGGGGAGACGGGGCTCAGTTTGGGGAGCTCAGAGGTTCCCTCAGTCCCTCAACCTCACCCATTTCCCAGAAGCCCATCCTGGCCTCTCACCCACAGAGAGACGTCATCACCAGCAACCCCTATGCCTTTTTCTTTTCATTTGGAAAAATATTTGTTGATGTTAAATATACCCATATAATTTACTACCTTTACCTTTTTATGAGACGGAGTCTTGCTCCATTGCCCAGGCTGGAGCACAATTGCACAATCTCAGCTCACTGCAACCTCTGCCTCCTGGTTTCAAGCAATTCTCCTTTCTCAGCCTCCCAAGTAGATGGGATTACAGGCTCACACCACGCCCGGCTGATTTTTGTATTTTTAGTCGAGATGAGGTTTCACCATGTTGGCCAGGCTGGTCTTGAACTCCTGACCTTGTGGTCCACCACCTCAGCCACCCAAAGTGCTGGGATTACAGGCGTGAACCACTGCGCCTGGCCTCACCTTTACCGTTTTTAAGTGTAAAGTCCAGTGGTGACGGATACATTTGTATTCTTTTTGTCGTTGTTACCCTCTCCCCTTCCCTTCCTGGCCTCTGGTAGCCACCATTCTCTCTACCTTCATGAGATCCACCTGCCCGCTCCTGCATGTGGGTGAGAAATGGCAATCTTTGTAATGCCCTCCAGTTCCATCCAGGTGGCTGCAAGTGACAGGACATTATTGCTTTTATGGAGGAGGGGTCTCCACTGTGTGTATGTGCTACGTTCTCTCTATCCACCCATCCACTGATGGGCAGGTAAGTTCACTCCACACCTTGGTTATTGTGAATTGTGCTGCACCAATCTTGGGAGCGCAGATATCACTTCGATACACTGATGTCCTTTCCTTTGGGCGTAAACCCAGTAGTCAAATTGCTAGTTACTATGAAAGTTCTATTTTTAATTTTTTTTTTTTTCTTGAAATGGAGTTTCCCTCTGTAGCCCAGGCTGGAGTGCAGTGGCGCCATCTCTTCCCACTGCAACCTCCCCCTCCCAGGTTCAAGGGTTCTCCTGCCTCAGCCTCCTGAGTAGCTGGGATTACAGGCATGTGCCACCATGCCCGGATAATTTTGTATTTTTAGTAGGGACAGGGTTTCTCCATGTTGGTCAGGCTGGTCTCAAACTCCCAACCTCAGGTGATCTGCCGGCCTGGGCCTCCCAAACTGCTGGGATTACGGGCGTGAGCCACCATGCCTGTCCGATTTCTAGTTATTAATCCCATCTCAGATGCATAGTTTGTGAATAGTTGCTCACATTCTGTGGATTGTCTCATCACTTCTTTGGTTTATCTTTCGTGGTGCAGAAGTTGCTTAGTTTGATGCAGTCCCAATGGTCTATTTTTTGCTTTGATTACTTGTGTTTTTCAGGTTTTAAACAAAATGTCTTTTCTCATGCAAATGCCTTGGAGCATTTCCCCAATGTTTTCTTCTATGCATTTCGTAGGTTGAGGCTTTAGACTCATCTTTTATCCATTTTCATTTGATTTTTGTGTATGGTGAGAGGTAGAGGTGCAGTTTCATCCCTCTACGTGTAGACACTGTTTTCCCTGTACCGTTTATTGAAAAGACTGTCCTTTCCTGAGTGTAGGTTCTTGGCAGCCTTGCCAAAGTCCATTGGATGGGCTGTGCATGGTGGCTCACACCTGCAATCCCAGCACTTTCGGAGACCAAGGTATGTGGATCACCTATGGCCAGGAGTTCTAGACCAGCCTGGCCAACATGGTGAAACCCCTTCTCCACTACAAGTACAAAACTTAGCTGAGCATAGTGGTTGGTGCCTGTCATACCACTAGTCAGGTGTCTGAGGCAAGAGAATTGCTTGAAACCAGGAGAAGGAGGTTGCAGTGACCTGAGACTGTACCTCTGCGTTACAGCCTGGGTGACAGAATGAGATTCCATTTCAAAAAAAAAAAAAGCCATTGGATGTAAATGCATGGGTTATGTCTGTGTTCTTCATTCCCCTCCATTGTTCTATGTGCCTTTCTTTATGCCAGCGTCATACTGTTTTGCTTAATACGGCTCTGTAACATATTTTAAAGTCGGGTAGTGTGATGCCCATGTTTTCTCTTTATACCTTGAAGTCTCAAGACAGTGGGCATCACATACGAAAGTTATGGAGGAGAGGACCCCAGGACTCCTAGGGTCCAACATTAGATAACAGAGTGTTGGCCATGAATGAACCTCAAAGATTTCCTCTGAGTAGAAGACAGGCATCCTCATTTCCACACCTCTCTCCTGTCCCGTGTTCTAGGAAACCCTTCAAGCGGTTGGCCTTCACCCACAGAACCAAGCTCCAAAACTGGTGAGTAAAGGATCCCTCCTATCTTTGCTTTAGGAAACCTGGGGAGGTGGAAGCCTTTGATTCAAGCGTTAGCTCAGCATCTCCCCGCTCTGTGATTGAAAGCCTGTCTTCTACCATCTCTGAACCTGAACCCAGACACTCCAGCAGGGAAAGGGATCTGGGGCCAGCACAGGGCTCAGTGAAGTCTCTCACTCTCCAATTTTCTGCAGCTCAGACCTCCTTGAGGCTAGAAGAATGATTGCAAATCTGACATCCTTCTCAGGAAAAAATGCAGTGTTTGTTCTGCCTGCATTCCTAACTGGGGGATAAATGCCAGGGGGAATTGAAGGAAGGAAGGGAAGGGAACATCCGATGAGGGTGGGGCGTTTTAGAGAAGTTCCACTTGCCAAGGAATTAACTCCTGTGGGTCATGATGCAACTCTGGCTGACTCCGCAGAGCAAGAGCGCTGCAGTAAGAGAGAACCGAGCTCATGCACGCACACTTTGACTCCATCACTCATTCGACACAATCACTCACTGCAACCTCCGCCTCCTGGGTTGAAGCAGGAGAATGAGTTCAGCCCAGGAGGTGGAGGTTGCAGTGAGCCGAGATCGCAGCACTGCACTCCAGCCTGGGCGACACAGGGAGGCTCCGTTTCAAAAACTAAAATTAAAAAATATGTAAATATTATGTAACACTCACAAATGACAAAGGCACCTGAATTCCAATCATCATTTTTCTACTTCTCTATAATTACTTTATTGATCCCTAATCTAATACATTAGAAAATCAGCCTAGTACCTCTTCCCTATTTGGCTTTCTGTGAGCATGAGATCATATGGAAAATGGGAAAGCCCTCGATCCACCAGCACAGGTCCTGAAATAGAGAAAGTGCTCTATTCATGGCATAAAAGTTGCCCCCTCACCCAAATCCCTCACCCCACCCCTACTTCCAATCACGTGTGGAGACACAGATAGATTATGGGGAGGTAAAAACTAACATTCTTTGGAGTGAGCTCAGTTCTTGGACTCAGAGACCAATCCCAGCGCTATCTCCTGGTCCCCTTTCCTACTAATTCACAGAAGGACAGGCTGGATTTTGAAGCGATAGATGATGGAGGGGGTTGTTACTCCCCTGCCTCTCAGGTAGAACAGCAGCCTATTGTACGTCTCACGAGATCACAAAAGGTAACATGTTGCCCACGGGCTTCCGCACTATTTCTTGGCTGTTTGATATAAGACAGTTCAACTTCACTTCTTTTGATTTCGATTTCACTTTTTTTCCTTTTCTTGGAGAATGTAATTTGTTTCAGTCAAGAGTGTTGTGGATGTAGAAGTTGTAAAGCACGTTCACTGTGTATCAATCCCAGTCCATCTTCCTAGAGAAGACTCTGAACGCCTCCTGGACTGCACCTGGGGCCATGCCAGTTTCTATCACTGACAGTCACTCCAGGGACACAGAACACAGACAGAATAAATTACATACAGCAGGTTCATTACTCACAGATCAGCAGCAAGTGACAACAGAAGCCTACCTTTCAGGGCGAGCCAGTCCCCCAAGGCTCAGAAAACCTGCCCAGGACACACGGAGTCACCCCATTTGCAGTGTAGCTGGGGGAACCGAAAACCAGCCCCGCCTGGGTTTTGCACCCTGGAGCCACAGGAGGCACTGAGCTAAAGCACTGCATCACACCCTCCTCTAGGAAGAGCAGGAGGAGAGCCCAGGCTGTTCTGAGACGTTGCTCCTGATCTCAGGGCGTGGCTGTCTTGGTCCATTTTTGCTGCTATCAAGAAACACTTGAGCCTGGGTAACTTCTAAAGAAAACAGATGTGTTTGGCTCACGGTTCTACAGGCTGTACTAGAAGTATGGCACCAGCATCTATTGTTTGTGACGCCTCAGGCTGCTCCCACTGTGGCAGAAGAGAAGTGAGTGTGTGTGTGCAGAGACCACAGAGATCACACGGCAAGAGAGGGAGCAGGAGGCGGAGGTGCGATGGAGCTTCCGAGTTCTCTGTCACAACCCACTCTCCAGGAACTAGTAGAGGGAAAACTTGGTAATCTCGTCTCATGGGGACAGCATTAATCTATTCATGATGGATCTACCCCCATGACACAGGCACCTCCCTCTAGGTCCAACCTCCCACACTGGGGGTTAAATTTCAATGTGAGGGTTGAAGGGCATCAAACATCTACACCAAAGCAGTTGTATCATCAGCTATTTCTGTGGTTACTATGAGAACTGTAACTGAGAAAGCAGGAGAAAGCCGGGTCTGTCGCCATCTGGGTGCTTGTCCTAAAGAGACATTGTACGTGGTTACCTGCCAATCAGGAGATGAGAGACAATCCAGGAAGAGGAACTGCTGTGGTCAGCTTCTTATTGGATTCCCATCTTCCTCCAGGTAACCCCAGACACCTGCACGTTCTGATTGGGACCTCAGGGGTCATCATGCTCTTCATCATCATCATCTTCTTTCTCATTCATCGCTGGTGGTCCACCAAAAAGAGTAAGTCTCACGAAGCAGAGGCCAGAGACCTCAGGGCCGTGTGGGGAAGCGTGATGGGAGCACACAGGTGTGTGTTCCTCATTGGCAGGATGGTCTCTGGCCCAAGGCAGGAGCCGCAGAGGCAGGGCTTTCTAGAGAGAGCACCAGACACCCTGCCCCTGCCCTCAGCTCACAGACCTTTGCCTGATTCTGAACTGTATCCTCACGTCCCTGCAGCCACTGACATCAGGAGAAGGTTCCATGACAGGCAGAAAGTGGGAGACAGAATCAATGGGATGGGAATTGAGAGCTCTTCATGGGAGGGGTCCTTGTACTCAGAGAGATAGAATGTGTGAGTCAGGCCGTTGGCAGCGGAGGGGCCTCAGGCACCCATGGCCTCCCCCTGTGTGTTGGTGTCTGCACATGAAATGAGGACCCAGAAGGGCCCTCCCAGGGGTTTTGATGATGTCTGTCTCTAACAGATGCTGCTGTAGTGGACCAAGAGCCTGGGGTGGACAGAACAGTGAACAGGGAGGTAGGTCCTCCTTGGCCCAGCCTGGGGCATGGAGTCTTATTCCCTAATAGTCCCGAAGAATGTGAGCCCTTCCGTCACTCAACGTTTCCCTCTCTCCAGGACTCTGATGGACAAGACCCTTAGGAGGTGACATACGCACAGCTGGATCACTGCATTTTCACTCAGAGAAAAATCACTCGCCCTTCTCAGAGGTCCAAGAGACCCCCAAGAGAAACCAGTGTGTACATGGAACTCCCAAATGCGGAGCCCAGATTGAAAGTTGTCTCCTGTCTGTGAGCACCACAGACAGGCCTGAGGGGGTCCTCTAGGGAGACAATGGCCCTGTCTCAAACCCAGCTTGCCAGCTCCAGTGTAAGAGCAGCTGGGACCTGAAGGCGTGAGTCTGCGTCTTAGAGGATCACTCTTCCTCACACTGTGAATCTGAACGTGGCTGTCTCTTGCTTACAAATGTCTGTGGTCCTCACTGCCTGCTGGACAGAAAACACACTCCTTTGCTTAACACACAATTCTCCATTTCACTTGACCCCTGCCCACCTCTCCAACCTAACTGGCTTACTTCCTGGTCCTTCCTGAGACTGCAGTCACACTGAGGAACTCACAAGTCCAGACATACAAGAGGCTCCCTCTTGACACAGCACTTAGACACGTGCTGTTCCACCTTCCCTCATGCTGTTCCACCTTCCCTCAGATTTTGAGGGATTTTGCAGCCTTCTGTCATCAGTAAAAATTTTAAGCTCTTTTTATATGTAATTTTGATGTAGTTCTCTTCAAATAAACACGTCTGCCCTTATGAGTTAGGTAATGTGACTTTTTTTGCCTAAACTTTTGGTGTTATCATGACTATGTCCACATAACCCCCTATGTTCTCCACTGGGTTCTCACCCCTGGACTGGGAGCTTCTGGAGGCAGGTGGAGCCTGGTGTGTCCCTGGGACTCCAATTTCCATCCAAAGATGCAGCACAGGGGAGGTTCCGAGGATCGTGAATCAAATGGACAAGTGCTATTCTTACTCGCTGCAGACCTGGAAAGCTCGCAGAGTAATTCCAAGACGAAACATCTGCAGGGTCATCGCCCTTGTTAGTCTCATCTCCACGAGGACACTTATCAAAACATCATCTTTCTCACAATAAATATACAGTCGGTCCTCCATATCTGTGGATTTACAGCTGTGTATCAAACCAATGATAAACAAAAAATATTCAGAGAAAAGAATCCACAAAGTTCCAAAAAGCAAAAGTATGTTGAATGGACCCAAGTGAAGCTATGCGTAGCCTGTATCAGGAATTATAAGTCATCCAGAGAGGATCTGACGTACACAGGAGGATGTGCAGGGTTACTTGCACTCACTAAGCGATTTCATGTAAGAGGCTGGAGCATCTGCAGATTTTGGCA